GGGTGCTACTCAACTTTGCTAGGAAACTGTGCTCGAAGGGGAAAACTGAGTAGTTAGCGACAGTCGAGAAATACTTGAAAACAATGATCATTCACGGAGATCTGCTAATGAGTATGGGAAATCAAGTAAAGAAAGAGTAAAGTTTGGTACTCTACAGAAAATGTCTTTCCTCAGTTTATCTTCAAAAGTGACAAAACTTCCGGAAGAATCAAGTTCAACCTGAATTCTACACTGAAAACGAAGTATCCTGTTGTTAAAATGGTTTACTTATACCAGACAAACTCGTTGCAGCTACCGAAATTCGGCAAGTCCCCATCTTAATTTACGTCCAGCTGCCTCTACCAGTTTACAAGTAAATGCCAAAGCTATATGTACTCATTTCAGTGGTACAAATACTAAAATTGGGATGTTACAGGGAAGACCATCATGGCCTCTATGCAAGGATGACACGCAAAATCTTAAATCGTTCTTCATTTTTTGCTCCTATTCTTGTTCCTGCTCTTTTCGAATTCATAAAGGGCAATTTGTATTTGAAATTCAAAGCTAATGCATTACAAGAACAATGAAAAGGCTTTGTGTTCGTATTTCCATGCATTTCTCCAAGACCTCCAGATTTATGGATCTACAAGTAGTCAAAATTCCTTTTGCACGTTATTTGCTGGATACTGGACTAAGTGTAGACATTCCTGAATCGTTTATCTTAATCAATAAACAGAACGGTCTGCACTTCTGAAGACGTTATCGCTGAAAGGTCTATACCTTTTGTTCCAAATGAACATAGTTTTTCATCGTACACTTTTCTGTAGAGTCTTCAGACAGTATATTCAAATTAGTTACATCTCTTCTGTTCTGCTTAAAAACAACCCTGAGTGTTGTGCTTCTTACTCTTAGAAGTAGTATGGACTGGTTAATATTTTATGTAGCTTCAGTCCACTTCTTAATCCTTTTCAAAAATATTCACCTAATTATCCTAAAACAGTTAACCCTTCTAAAATTCATATTATCATCCTCTTTATTTGGTTCACATTAGTCTCAAAATGATGTTCACTTATACTCTCATAAATAACTCTTTTTTAAATTTCATGAAAGTATGTGACACTCTACGTAATATTACTATTATTTGTCCCTTGGGTTCCTAGTGGAATCTACGGCTTCAGTAGCACATCTCCACTGCACTCTGTCCTCTGCAATCTTTTGAACCTGGCTCCACAACAGCCCACAAGCTCTCACTTCTTCCTCGCACGATCTCCTCCATGTCACCCTCAGCTGGGACACCCAACTCGTCGTTTCCCATCTGCGTTCCACTCAACGACCTGGCCTGACGCGTGATGTCCCCAGCCGGCCTTCTCAGTATATGCCCGATCCAATCCATCTCCACTTGTTAGGTGATAGGTTCTTGGTTGGTTCGTTACCAGAGTTCCTTGTTGCTGATTCTTTCTGGCCATCTGAACTTCAGTAACGAGCCAGCTTTGGCAGTTCTTGATGAATGTCTGTAATTTGTTGCAAATCCCTTTCGTAATGCACCAAGTCTCTGAGCCATACAGAAGCACTGATTTGATGCTGGTGTTGAAAATCCAGACCTTGTTCCACATGCTGAGTGCAGAAGATCTCCACACTGGTTTCAGCTTAATGAACGCCTGTATTGCTTTTCCGATCCTGGCTGGCTTTCACGTCCTCGTCTGTGCCACCGCCGCCTGTAGTTGAAACGGTGCTGCCTAGACAGGTGAAAGAGGCTAATTCCTTTCAGTTTCTCCCGTTGATGGTGATTGGGGCTTGTTGTTGCTGTTGTTCGTGGTGGTGTTGGTTGGGTATCTTCGTCACCTCTGTCTTCTCTACGTTCACTGAAGTCCCATCTTCCCTCGCTGCCCTACATCTTCTGTCAACTTGTTAGTTTTCGCCTGTACATCTTCAAGTTTGTGTGACAGTAGACATAAGTCATCATCGGCGAAATCCAAATCTTCCTAGGTTCTATTCCCCGGTCCAGCGTATCCCCTCCTTTCGCTCCCCACTGTTTGTTGCATGATCCAGTCCACTACAATCAGGAATATCATGGGTGATAGTAGACAGCCTTCTTCTACTCCTGTCTTCACTTCAAAAGCATCACTGAGCTTCCCATTGTGAATTACTCGGCATGTGGCGTCTTCATATAGTTGCTGAATCAGATTGATAAAGGTTTGTGGTATTCCGTAGTGTTGAAGCAACTGCCTGCCAAATTACTTCTCGGTCGACGCTGTCAAAAACCTTTTCAAAGTCGATGAAGTTGAGGTAGAGCGTTGACTGCCACTCTATACTCTGTTCTATGATGATGCGAAGCTTTGCAATTTGGTCTGCACATGATTTGTACTTCCTGAAGGCAGCCAGCCTGTTCGGGTGGTAATTTTGAATCCAGTGCATCCTTCAGTCTCTCCAGGATTATGTGGGGTGGACAGGAGTATGGTTCCACCCCAGTTCTTGCAGAGACTTAGGCCGCCTTTCTTCAGGAGTTTGACAAGGTAGCCCTTCTCCCAATCACTTGACAGGTACCTTTGCTTCTCGCCTTCTAAACCTTCTGCAATAGTGATGTGAGTATGTCCGCTGTTGTCTCTGCGTCTGCTCTCAGTGCTCCTGGTGGGATTCCATCTCGTCCTGCTGCCTTCCCTCATTTCAGTAGCTTTATGGCGTTCAGGACTCTGACTTCTGTTGGAGGATTTGTGTTCACTTATAGTTTTGTGGCTGTAGGTGGTATTTCTGGATGAAGTGCAGGTGGTGGTGGTGGTGATAGATCCAAGAGCTTCTTGAAGTGGTCGGCCCATTGTTTCCTTTGTTTTTCTTCTTGAGCGATTCAATTTCGTTTATCATCTTTTATTGATTTCATCTGTGTTGATCTCTTCCCTCCCAGATAGTAACCTGGTTATTTCATACAATGTTGTCAGGTCTCTTTCTCACCTACCTGCAGCCTGTTCTGCTTCACTTGCCAGTGTGTCATAGAAGTGTTTTTTGTCTTTGCGCGCATTCTTCTTCATTTCTTTTTCTAGTGTTTTATACGTCGCACTCAGTTCCTCTTCTCGCTGTTCATCCTTGCACTGGTTTATCTTCTGCTTCATCATCTTCCTCTCCCTGCTCTATCAGTTCCATGTGTCCGTCGAGATCCACTTCTTATCTTCTTTCTTCTTCATTCCTAATATGTTTATGCAGGTTTCTGTCTACATAGCTTTCAAAGAGTTCCAGTGCTCATCAACACAGGTTTCTTCAGGGATGTTCCTCGATATCTCTCATTTTGTCTTGATGGCTGACGTGAAGATGTCCTTTGTAGTTTCGTCCTTCAGTTCAGTTTCTGTTGTGAGTGTTGAACTTGAACTGTGGTCTACCACCAGCTTCCTTGAGGGCTTTTAACTTGATTTGGAAGATTCCTTGCATTAGATAGTGGTCTGAACCTACATCTGCTCCTCTTCTTGACCTTGTATCAAGTAGACTGCATCTCCATTTTCTCGAGATTGAGATAAAGTCGACCTGATTTTTAGTGTCCATCTGGTGAAATCCATGTCGCTTTGTTGATATCCTTGTACTTGAACATACTACCTCCAATCACGAAGTCGTTGAATGCACGGAAATCTGCAAACAGTTCCCCATTCTCGCTCATTTCACTGAGTGCCTCACGACTCATGATGGGTTCCGTTCCGGCGTTGACCACTCCCAGTTTGGCATTCATGTCACCCATTAGAATTTTGATGTCGCCATCTGGGGTGGTGTCTTGTCCAGCAATGATTGCAGTTGTCTGTAGATTTCCTGCTCTTTCTTTGGATCTCTTGACCTGCATTATTTGTAGGTGCGTAGCATAGCATTGTCTGATTGTGACTTTCTTTCCTTTTGAGTTGAATCTTGCTGTCATGATCCTGGAGCAGATTTGTTCCCATTGCGTGAGAGATGGCCTTTGATGGTGTTTGGGACATCACGATAGCCACTCCATAACTCAGTATGCTCGTGGTTTTCGTCTGGGTGATAATATCAGAGTGGATTATTGACTCTCCAGTTAAGAGTTTGGAGAGTCGACTTCCATTCCATCTGCTCACGCAGATTCCTGGCACTTCTATGCTATACCTTCTCATCTCTTTTGTAATCTGGGCAGCCTTGCCAGCCGGGTTCAAACATTGTTCGGATATTCTATGTTCCTATGCTTACTTTTGCTTTCATCGGGGTTAGAGAAGACACATCGGCCAATTGGCTTCCCGAAGACATTCACCAACCGGTGTCATTTCGTCTCTCCAAATCCAGTGAGGAATAATTTTGTTTTTATTTTTTATATTTTGTTTGTGCTTTGAAGTTTCTTTAGCCATTGAATTGGTTTTACTGGGTAGGGTTTCTAGCTTTATGCCGAACCTTCCCTCTTTACCCAGGCTCAGTACCGGCTAGTAATTAGTGAACCAGTTAACGGGGCGAGGTTTTCTATGTAGTATATGTAATATGTACATTTTTAAATTGTTTAGGTTGTAAGCAGCTGCGTAGAGTTCACGAAATAAAGATTAGCTTACTAAATACTGCTTTACGCAGTGTTCTTGCTTTATTCAATTTCAAAAATAGGAAGCGATGCATGAAAGATACAGCTGTACTTTGAATGTAAGGTGTTTTGCATCTAATAAGCACCTAGAACTCTAATGATATCACTACTACTCATCAGACATCTTTCAACTAGAGTTGTATTAGAATCCAGCAAATTCTAAACAAATTTCGCGTTTTCACTGACTGAAATGTCATTTGGTTTAACTTACAGCAGCTTCGACCTTTTTAGGCTTCTGCACTTGTATTTAAAATCTGAAATTTTGTAAGTGATCATTTATTTATTTTGAGTGTTTCTAGGACGCTTTATTAGTGAAAACAATATTTGTGTTTTGGTGTCTCATTAAAAACATGATTAATCTTTATACAACAGTTTGCAAACGATTGACTATTCACAATATTTGATCGGTCGCTTCTAGATGAAGGAATGTTTACATTTATCTGTTGTTTATCTGTTCCGTTTCTAGTGTTTGAAGCAACTTTTAAATCACGTGAACTTCATGGGAATATGGCTCGTTTCGAAATGCAAGTCATGCAAGTGTGGAGAATCAATAAACAATCTCTTAAGGGAAGTTCAGGTATCTACTGGCCTACTTCCAAGAATTTCATCGATTCGGGCACAATACCGAAGATGAACATGAAGAAGTAATGAAAAAGAATCAGAATGAATTTATTCCTGTATGGGTTCGTCTGAATGATTTACGATGCAAATGTCCTTATATTGAACTGGAACTTCATATCTTATAGTCACAGATTTCGAGAGCTTCACAAATAAAGTGAGAAACGAACTGTTATTTTCGGTTAAAACTGCTGTTTTACCTTGGCGCACAAGTTGGAAGCGCAGACTTATTCGATTTCGTAGAAGAGAAAATCGTGGAGCCTGCGAAAAGTTTCGTGAACCTACTAAACTCCTTAGTGTTTTTCGACCGAAACAATCACTGACAGTTCCAATGGCACACCGTGTCTGGTATTCAACAAGTACTTCTCGATTTTCCTCGTCAAATCATAAAAGTCCTTCATATTCCTTGTCTTTAAGACCTTATTCAAGCTATAGAAATGATCATGAAGTGTTTTAAGACGGTTTACAATTCATTTACTCATATCATTCTGAACTATGTACAAAAGTTTTTCATTTAAAAGCACCCATCTATCCACTATACCAATGTCAATTTAAAACTTCTCTGTAAATTTTGAAGGTATTTCTAAATAAGCATTCATGGTCATCTATGCATGAATTTTAATATCAAATGCAAACAGAATGTTTACTTCAAGTAATATTATAACATGCATGCAAGAATATTTATGGTTGACCTCTTAAAAAACTTTAGGTTTCATTTATAACAATGAAAGGTATATGCGCACAAAACAAACACAGTACGAGAAAAACAATCACTTATCACCATAAGTACTTCATATTTTTTTTATCCACTCCGGAAACATTTATAGCTCGTTTATAATCTCCTTTCACAGCATTTGAATGATTTGTAGAACCATTTCTCTTCTTCCAGTTTATAACAAGTTTAAGAAGCCAAACCTTTTACTTTCCTTCTTCTTATTCGACTAAATACTACTACGACTATCACTACTGCTGGTGATGTTGAGTTTGTTTGCAGTCGCAACTTAAATTAAAAAAACTATGTCCATTTTTATTGAAAACAAGTTGTAGATTTCTCATGCTACGTATCGTTTAAAACGAAGGATTGCTTCAAACGTTTCGAAACAGTAAATGTTTCAGAAAGAAATTTGAATTAGTTGCGCTCAGTGTTCTGAAATGTCAAGCAGATGAGGCTTTCACATCTCATTCCTTCATGTAAGACTTTGAAAACACCGAATGTGATGGAAATGATTGGTCAAAATTTACTGCTTTTCTTGTGCAGGCGTTTCCGACTTGCTTTTGAAGATTACTAATTGGTTAACTGAACTCTGAGTTCTTGTATAAGATACAAGGTGTACTAGACTGAAGTAAGAGTAAACATGTAGTTGAATGGCAGTAAATCTATCATGAGGTGTTCTGAACATAGAGTACTTTATTGGCTCGTCCACTGTGACAATACTTTTCATATTCTGAATTTTTAAGGTGAAGTTTTGACGATAGATATTTTGCTTTTATAACAGAAAATGTCAGTGATATTAATATCAAAATGAAAGAAAACCAGAACAATTCTTTTATAATTTATACAGCATCTTCGTTCTGTGATCACCAAGAGTGATGTTGAATGCTTAGGTAACTTCACCAATATCACTTGAATATGCATATTACTTTTCCCAATCTTTTACCATCTGTTCTACTTTTAGTTGCTGGCCAGTTTAGGTTCCGCAGACACAGACCCATCGACGTTTTTATACGCTTATGTCTGACATCATAAATTCTATGAAGTATACACACTAATGCAATTGATATTTTTAAGTTTTTCTTGTTGAAATGATATTTATAACTGTTTACTTCTAGCAACTGAAGTATTAGAGGAACCCGGGGAAGCTTTTCCTTTTAAGATACAGAACTTTTCACAGCTTTTGCAGTTTACTTCATATCCAGCTATTGTTGTTGAGATTTTGTTACAGACAAAGTCTAATGATTTCACAGATATTTCAGCAACGAAAACTGGTACGATTTCTAACAATAAAGTTCTTCCGGTTAAGATACTTTCACATACTTCAACATGTCCTTTTAATGGATTCCTAAAGAATAGTACTCTACAAAATAATTTGTTCTGATTTGAAAACCACCAACGAAATTAATTGGATACTTCCAAAATGTAGTCATTAGTAGTCCCTAGATTGTACTATTACTGGTAATGAATGGAAGTGAACTCATATACATTGGTGGTGATTGTTTCCCAATATGAAGATGACCGATTTTTGACCGCACTTAACCAATCTTTACTGATGTGCAGTAAACTACACTCTAACTCATGTTTAAAACTTTTGTTCGGTCTTCATGCATTTGCTACAATAAAAGAATAATGCTTTGATTTCTATAGGATATTTAATATATATACAAACTGTAGGGCGAATGCGGCTCATTTTGATTCTACTTTGACCTAGATCTAAGTTTAGTTCCAGTCATCACTTACATGTACAGGAATTACAAACGAAGTAGTTCCTTACATAGCTAAAGCAGTGCTTGTAACATAATATATGCCTTTTCAAAAAGGAGAGGTTAATCTGCCAAAATTTCGGTGTTAGATGCTTTTTGTTTACCTTTCTTCAAATTAGCTACATACCACTTTAAAGCAAATGTCATCTGAAATTACACTGTACTCAACACCACAGTCAAAATACTGACACATTCAGAGACATATAACTGCTTAGACGTTTCACCAAAATGTGACTTTTGGTTACAGTTAATAATTAATGAGCTTCCATGAAGTGAAGGTATTGCTCATTTCATGAGTAACCATGAATCCCGAAAAATTTTAAATCTGTAGTATAGAACGAAGCTTTAAAACTTTCTTATCTCAATCGTGCATGATATGCAGATCATAAAATACCTGACAATAATGCTCACACAAATATAAGGTATAGCTCCAAGTTATTTGGAACTACCTAATTTTATTTCTCTTCGCCTTTGCGATCTGCTGTTGTAGAAGGAATGGTCATCCTAAGATCATAACCATCTTCGTTCATATCACTGTGATAAACAGCCAAAACAAAACAGAAACATCCAGCTGATATTTAACAACTACTGTGATTTACATGTTCCACTAGAAACATCTCCAAAGGAATCTATTAAATATACGTCACGAACAATCAGGAGCAGAGAAATTTGCACAATAAAATGAGTTCATTTTATTTCATGGCTTTTCATCAGCTGCAAACAGCCTGCAATTGAAGTGAATTAATAATAGTTTAGGAATTGTCCTGGTGCGAACTTGACAGACACGAAGACCAATCACTAGTTATTCGGACTTGTTATATATCCACAAATACGAGACCAAGAAAAAAGACAATAGCGTAGTAGGATGGAATAATATATTTGGGTGGTTGTACCAAGATACCGATGCGTTTCCAACTAACTGGCTAGAGAGTCGAATACAAGCAATGCAACGTAACACGACAGCGTGCCAAATGGTGAGGATGCTTGACCGGGTGCCTTCAGCTTAGCGAGTCCAGTTAAACTATCAAGGTCAACATGAGTGTCGAAAGTCGTCAAACCCCAGGCCATTGATTTTGGGGAAGTGTGTGACACTAGAGATCACTCCCCCCCCAGTGGGTTCGTGATGACCTTAAGACGACACAAGCCAGAAGTAAAAACCTAGTGGTTTCTCCACTGGTGAAGCTCTTCCGATGGTCTCACTGCGTGAAGTGGCCCCTGATTGTCTGAACTTATTCTAGGGTGTCGTGGCCATTAAAAAATGAAGTACAATAAATAGAACTGGACGTCGATCTCGGTCCTCAGTTTCCTTTGACGTTCCATCCAGTGCTCGTTGCACCAACGAGCTCCAACTAACTGGCTAGAGAGTTGATTACGAGCAGTGCAACGTAACACGATGGCGTGCAAAATGGCGGGGATGCTTGACTGGGTACCTTCATCATAGCAAGTCCAGTCAAACTATGCAGGTCGGTATCAATGTTGAATCTCGTCAAACCCTAGGTAATTGATTCTGGAGAAGTGTGTGACGCTACACTAGTAACAGTAACATAGCATACTTTAAACACGCAGAAATGGACAGAGATTTGAAATCCAGAATTAACAACGAGGTAGTAAGGCAAGGAAACAGGACTAATAGTTACTAATCCTAGTCAAAACCAATGGCTATTTATATCTGGTGAGATAGAAAATTCTGGAACTGTGGAGTGGGTGGACAACAAGCGAAAACCAGTGTAAAGGAGGGGACTGTTTAAGAGCTATAAGTTGCGTAGTCATGTGAAAAACTTGAAAATCGTTAAGTGGTTAACATTCAGTAGGTAATTAATGAGGAGATGATGTAATCAAAAGAAAGAGAAGACTATATACATATACATGCAAACAATTATATATATATATATATATATATATATATATATATATATATATATATATATATATATATATGCCTGGTGATCGCACTTTTAAAGACCTTGCTAGCATTCAGGCACAGATTGCTCGGTATATGCTCATAAAATAGAGTAGACGCCCTTCTTTCAGTCCGTCCTACGTACTTGCTTCCACAAGCACAGATGAATTGATATACGCAGTTGGAGGTGACGTGAAATAGATATTTGTCTACTTTCGACTGTGTTGAGCATAATGTACTGTAAACTGAGATCAGTCTGGCAGCATGGAAGCTCCTTCTCAGTGCAGCTTTTACTCTTCTGTCTATTCTTTCAGATTTCTTATCACTTTTGAATGCTAAGTAAAGGAAAAGAGGCTTCTTCTCAACAGTTGGATATTTTGGCCTCTCAACAAATTCTTTTCCTTGCTTCATGATGAATTTCTTCGGTTATCCATTCTCTGTAAGAGCCTTCCCAGTTGTTCCGAATTCTTCTGTCTGTTTATCTGTAGAGTAAAGCCTTTTTATTCTAGTGAATAGTATCCTGACTAAACTATGCGTATAGCTGACAGGACAAAAGCTATTGTAGTGAAGGTACTGACCAATCTACGTGTCTTTTCTTTGGATAGTTTTCTCTGCCGTACTATCACGTCTTTGTCTTATACTTAAATCCAAAAGATTGAATCTGTTCTCATTTTCATATTTCATTGTCAAATTAATATTTGGATGAGCTTGATTGAAGGTGTCGAACAACTTTAACGCATGATTCATATTATCACAAACAACGAAAGTATCATGGACATACCCGCAGTAATGTATCGTTTCCTTGAAGGCAGAGTTAAGAGTTGGTCGCTCGAGATGAGCCATGAATATGTCAGCTAGGATAGGTCCTAGTGGTGAACCCGTAGCCACTCTATCAGTTTGCCAGTATAGTTGATTATTAAACTGCAACTGAACACCTTTTGAACAGAAGAGTAGTAATTATATGAGTTCTGTTTTCGATAGTAGTAGTAGATCAGACTGTTGACAGATTATGTTTATCGTTTCATCCACTGGTATGTTCGTAAACAATGAGGAAACATCAAAGGATGCCACAAATTTATCAGAGATATCTAACCTATCCAGTTCTTCAGAGAATTAAAATGTATCCTTCCAGCTATGATTTGCGAGCCTTTTTCTGATGGGTTCCAGTTTCTTTGCTAACCAATGAGCCAATTTGTGACGAGATGAATTTATCATGGACAAGGTGGGTCTCAAAGGAACACTAGAGTTGTGAACTTGTGGAAAGCCGTACATGAAGGGTAGTCATTAACCTCTTGGTTTAATTTCACTATAGGTTGCTTCACTAATCAACTGCTTCTACAAAAGTTCCCTGAGGTGCTAGCTTACTTCGTTTTCAATTGAAACTGTCGCATCTTTTTGGGATCTATCAACTTTGAATCACAACGAATCTCTCAAAATCAGCAGCATTATATGCAAGTAGTCATTTTTATTCGTCATGACGATACCAGACTCCTTATCAGCTCTATTTATAACAACTTCAAGATTCTTGTGCAGGTTTTTCAGTCACAACCATGATGCTCAGTCAGAATCTTTGGCTGGTGGTATGGAGATATGCAGAACTGATTGGCAGTATCGACCAGCATAGATTTAAACCAGCTTCTGTTCTCATCTGTAGGCTTCAAATCGTGAAGTTGTAGGTATAAATTTTGACTTATGTTTTTGTATTACTTCGACCAAGGGGTTCTAATGGGTCATGAAATTTAGATTCAGGAGACCGAGCTT